GCTGAGCATCAGCAAGTAAAGGCCGAGCCGGCCAAGCCTCGGAAGGTTCCCTTTCTTCAGAAGCGCAAGGGAGCTGGGGTGGAGGGACGCAGTGAGTGCAGACTTGTTTACGCAACCCAAAGCAGATCGGCTGGGTTCATTTCGCGGCAGTTAACCGCCATCCTCTTCTTGACAGCCCACATCTCACTTCTGTCCATCCATCCTAGCTGTGGATCGGTGCTGTGACTAGTTACATGTATGTGTATATACTATAACATGTATATATATATATATATAATATACATGTGTGTATATGTATATTATGTAAAGTTTTAAAGAATGCACGCAGACAGTCGTATAAGATCGGGGTGCGGTTGGTTCCACCCCCCTCCCCTGGTGTGGTGTGGTTGGCGGTTTGGGTCCTTCTGGGGTGCTTGGCATCATCATCATCATCACCATCATCGGTTCGGGGTTTGGGGTTTGGGTTTGCTTGGGGGGCCTCCTGCCACGCCCTGGATCAGGGTTGGGTCTGTTTGGGGTGCCTCTCCTTGGTTTGTCGGGTGTGCTCGGGCTGCGGGGTGGTGTAGTTCGGGGTATGAGTCTGGGGGGGGAGGGGGTGGCATCATCATTATCATCATCATAATCATCATCTCCTGGACTGTCACAAGAACCAGGCCTGTTAGAAACACGATCCTCGTGACAGTTGCATGTTTGATACCCTCATGTCGGAGTCGTGGTTGCAAAGTGTCCACTGTCACAAGGATCGGGTGTTTGGAATGAGACAGTTGATGCAGTCACAGGGATTCGACATGTTTGGACCCGGGCGGGGCGTGGGGGGAGGAGTCGTGGTTGCGCCCCGACGCTCCTCCCTCTTCCACCCTCCACGCCGTGGAACGGCTTGAGCCTTGAGCTTCGCAGTTGAGAGGACGTGTGCTGAAGGCTCCTGTGTTTTTGGGGGATACCATTACAGGAAACAAAGGAGAAGAAACACAACGCACAGCACGCAACCAATTGTATGTCTCCCAACTTACGCAGGCTGACACTTTGGAAAACATATCTATCTTCTGGCTGTGTGTCCTCATGCTTACGGTCCTGTCGACAGCTCATCCATCAATCTCATGCTCCACACATCGAATCTCCCTCGCGTCTGCCTCTTTGCAATCCAATCTTTAGATGCCGACCCTAATCCCCGAGTCTTCTGATCCTATGTGATCTGATGGTCAGATGGTCGTCCCTAACCCAGCCGAGCTATCTCGCAATCTATCTGGCAATCTCGCGATCGAGCGGTGAATTGACTGCTTTGTGAGCTTATCGACCCATCGATTCTCGGTATAATTACCGACCCATTATCTAACTATGATCCCGTCATCTGGCGAATCTAGATGCTACATCAATCTCTCCCTCATGAGATATGCAGAGCAATGAAGCCACCTCTCGAACGATGAGCAGCATAACGCGTCTCGTGCTGTTTCTGTGCATCCCTCGACGATCGGCCCAAGAAATGTCCAATTATAATTTCGCAACCATACCGCATGAGTTGCTTGAACATGTGACCACTCGTGTCTAGTCACCTGCAATCCTGCAGTCACAGCAAGACTGCAGACGTTCCAACTGCAAGACTCACAGTAGCAAACTCCTCCCTTCACCCATCTGCCCTGGCAAAGTGAGCGGCCGTCTTTCCACGGAGCCCGTGCAGCTCCATGGCATTGCAAAGCGGCCCGGGGTCGATTTCAACAGTCGAGGTCAGGGACGGGGCTGTTGGACCGGAACTGGGCTTCGTCAATGACAAACCGAACATCTGTGTTGCTGCTGTTCAACACTTCCGGTAGTGCGCAGAATCTGTGGCAGAGGAAACTTGCTCGACAATATGCTCGACGGGGGCAGTTGCCGGATGGTCGGGAGTATGGACGTGATATGGCTGGGTTGAGGCTTGATGCCACGGACAAAGACGAGCACATGGACATGTATTGGCTACAGTGGCTACAGCACTCATCAGCACCGCACCAAGCATACACGAAACCATCGCCCAAAGCTCCACCGTCACACAAGCGAGACCACAAAGGCAGTGCCATCCCACCAGGAAACGAACATAGTCCAAATGAGCGTAGCCTGGTGCCTAGTAATTGTGCCCTGAGCTAACATGTCAGTAAGCCCTGATGCGCACTCCTGAATTTGAAAACATGCCGGAGATCACGGACGGGTTCGACACCTTCCAGATCAAAAAGCTCCGGGCAGGTCTGTGCACCCTGAGAATACTTTAAAATGTCCACAGCAACTCTGTTAAGCTATAGGCCGATGTGGAGTCTATTCGGGTTCCATGCATTCGGACCCCTTGGGGCACTTTGAAAGCGTCCCCAGCAGAACCCAGTGTTGAACGCAGAGTAGACTTAAAGTTGAGGGCCCGTGCCCTGTACAGCAGCTCTTTCCTCGTTTGGGGACGTGTCAAAAGAAGGCCTGTGGCTATCGACAACACACAACCCACAACATACAGAGCACTGACTTCCAAGAGTCCCAGAGTTCTGTGAAACACCGGCAAGCGGACTTGTACAGTCAGTCACACCCACCTGCTGGCTTTGCATCTTTTCTGTTGGAAGGTGATCAAGCAAAAGGGTCTTTAGCCACTTTCTCCGCTGGCACTGCTGGAAGCAAGGAATCTGCAGCTGCATTCTGGTGCATGTGGCGACAGCAACGCAACTGTGACAGAAAAAGGGAATCGTGTTTGTTCCAAGATGTCCCGGCCGTCCCGGCCCTGCCAGAGCAGACCTCCTTCAACCAGCAGTGCGAGGGTTGTCTCTTGAGCGTTCCGGGCTTGAAGGCCCACATCTGCTATTAAGCAATGTTCCATCCATAGGGGTTGATGAACGGATCTTCGCTCTACACTTCCAGAGGGACAACCCCCGAATCCAGTCCTCACACGTAAGCTGTGAGAACGCAAGGGCCAACGTCGACGGCGATGTCCGACTCCAGGCAACAAGATATCACAGATTTTCAGGGATGTATTGATGTATTCCTCTCCGCCAGGAGTTACAAGACCTACTCTTGCCAACTATGCGTCTACGTTGCAGATGCCTGCTTAGAGCTGACGCCCTTGTTTCTGTAGGAAATTGAGCTGGGCAGGCTGTGTTCAAAAAGCTGATCCGATGACTTACACCCGAATCCTACACGTCTGTTTGTTACGCCATATAAATCATATGAAGATGCCTTGACATCCTCGGCCATCGCGGTTGAGGATATTGACGCAGGTCGTGCCAAGAGACACTGCCGAGCCCGACTCAATGAGGCAGATTACGTGCCAGTCTGAAAAGAAGGAGATTGAGGTATTCACGACTCAAAAGGAAATTTGCTGAACGCCGGCCATCGTCGTGAAAGCGAAATCTGCCACATCTGAGGCTGTACCTGCGGCATATATCGTGCTCCACAACTGTCACACCATCGCCATGCCTGCAAATGGTACAAGTCCCGTGTTTTGCTCGGAACAGTAACAAGAGCGTTCTCCCTTTTGGAAGTACCCTTCCACCAACACAACGAATCTGGAGCTTCACTACGGGAGCCCATGTGAGTGCCAAAGCACGATTTGCGGGCAGACTTTGTGTGCCAAGACTGATCAGGCACCTGCTACAGGTAGAGAGGGGCTTTCGCAATCATGGCGTAGTTGTGAAAGTTGCCACCTTGCACCGAAAGGCTAGTTCCCCAGCGCTGGTGATGGACTGAGCAAGGTCCACCACCAGCATCTCCTATTTCTCCAGACGTCACCTGGATGCGACGAGGCTCTGCAGCCTGGAAATCTGGAGGGTTTTCAGTGTTTGAGACGCTTGCGCAAATCACCCTTGAGACGTTGATCTTAAAAACACAAGGAGGGCGTGCCCCAGATGCGCAAGGAGTCCTTCAGGCGAATCCGGGCTGTTGAAACTTCACTCAAAACTTATACCAGCTGCAGGAGTAGGAACGAGTTCGCGAGGCAACAGTGCCACAAAAAACATCCCGAGCCCAGGATAGCTTCCTCACCATGCAGGTTCACGCCGGAATTGCCGGGCATGCCCTCGAAACAGCCCACCCGGTGCACCCTTCGTCCGAGACATCAGCCCCTTCCATGAGGTTGGCAGCAGTAATAAGCTAAAAACAGAGTCCTACGATCTCGCCCTCAGCTGCTGTGTGCTACCGGTGCATTGTCCTGGTCTGCCTCGGCGAGACGCGTAGGCAGGATGTGGGCTTGATTCTCACAGCCGTAAACCGATGCTGGTATGTCAACGTGCTACTGCTGCTGCGGTTTCTGCGAGGAGATGCAGGAGGAGAACTAGTTTTCAGGTGGACGGCTGCCTCGGGCCATGCCGCAAAGATCTGTGCGATACTTGGAAAACACTGGCTCGGAGCGTCCAGCATCCAAAGAGTTCTGGAGGATGCTAGCAAGTTTTGAGCCATAACTGTATGGCTTCCATGACAGGTTGCCACGGTGCCTTGTCTATCGCTCCGAGCAGCTGGCAAGATGAGTCATCTGTACCCGGCCTCAGATGAAGTCCTGCGCTCTGGCGCACCTCTGTGGAGTTGGGCCCACACATGCATGGCAAAGAACAGCAGAGCTGCCGCAAGCTCCTAAAGGACCCACAACACAGCCTGACACCGGACACTGCAGCTTCCATCTCAGGAGGCGGGTCCTGCGGATAGATGTCAAGGCAATGCTCATGACATGTCATTCCATGCATGTTGTACTTGTTATACCTCCACTTAGCAATTCCCCCGGCTAAGCCTGCTAAGCTTGCATCAAGAGGCCCGACATGCTCAATCTCACGTTTCGGCACTGGGTGTTGAAGCCGCTTCAGTATCACAAGAAAGGACAGGCACCGCTTGTACTATAGCTGCAACGCTTTAAAGATCGAAGCGATTGTGGCGTGCGCCTGACACGACACGAAAGGTACCTGGATCCTGTAATTATCAAGGTCGAGCACGCGGAAACCCTCTGATACTAGTGAAGTGTGCCGATCACCGCGGTATATTGCGGTTTGGCACCGAGCGCATGCTTGTTTTTATCTTCGCAGCATTTCTGCCAGGGAAGCATGCCCTGCGAAGTCAGCAACTTCGGCAGGAGTCCGTCCGGCAGGTCCTACGGAAGCAAGATCGGCACGTGCATCCAAGAGCACCTGGCAGACGGCCTCGCAAAGGGCAACATGACTGAACTACACTATACAACCGTGCGACAACTGCAAAAGTATTGCAAACATCTGCAATCGGCTCACTATGTTTGTGTGAGTGTATGTGTGTGTTTTGGAGAAGCCTGGTCCAGCCTGGTGGCCGTTTGCCGCAGCGGAATCCAGTGCACATGCGCCAGCCACGGTACGCTGCGCGAGATCTGCACGAGCTTCGAGCAAGACCTCGCATACCGGGAGGCAACCTGCGCCCGCGGCCAGCACCAAAGCCGACTTCCCCTCCGGATCGATGCCATCGGGCTGAGCAGATGCCGCCAGCAACTCTTCACAGAGATCGCGTCGGCTCAGGGCAGCAGCCAGCATCAGCGGACTCTGCCCGCGCTCGCTGACTTCTTCTGGATCGGCCCTCGCAGCCAACAGCTCCTTGACATTCGCGCAGGCTCGCATGCTGGCGCTAGCTTGTTGACTGGAGGCTACGGCTACGTGCTTTCCCAGGCCCTCCTCCACAAGGGCTTTGTGCCCAGCAGAAACAGCAATGGCCAGGGCGGCCGCTCCGGGGCCTTGGAACACAAAATTCACCGTATCTTGATGCAGAAACAATGGGCTCCAAGCCCACAGTTTCGACTGACTGACTCACTGATTCACTGACTCACTCCCTCAGAACCTGTAACTGCAACCTGCAAGTCTATGCCCTAAAAACCACCTCGGGCTTCGGCCTTGGGACGTTTCGCCTGCACGGCTGCGCTGGTTCGGGTCGGCCCTGGTCCCCAGAAGCAAACGGCACCTCGTCAGAAAAAGACTTCGCTGGCGGTTCAGCCAACCCCCCCCCCCCTGACCCTGACCCCCCCTTTCAGAATAAGCAGATGATCGAGGTGCAGCTTGAGGTTGCCAGTGGCAGCAGCGCAGCCCAGCGGTCGGCGGCCGGCCGCATCCGCCGTCTCGGGAACAGCTTTGGCCTCCAGAAGAAGGCCTCACAAAGTGCCGGACACCTCGAGTCAGGAAAAGACATCTCTTGCTTCCTTGGCACCGGCAGCCAGCACGCTCCCTGCCGTGGATGCGGCGACAAGGGGAGAGATGGACGATCCCTCTGGTTGCACGGATGCTTTGCCTCAGCGAGACTTCTGTTTTGTCTGCTTGGGTGTCTCAGCTGCAGATATATTTTGCAAACACGAGAGCATTGACGAAGGGCCTCCTCAACCCCGAACCACCCCAAGAATCTGGGACTCGGCCAAAATACATTCCAGAAGTCTTCGCACCACCTTGGCAGCACCGGCGCGGCTTGCAGCCGCTAGAGGTGTGAGGGCCTTACCTGCCACACGGTCCGAGAGAAGGGCAAGTTCTAGAGTCAGTCTACAGACCCAGCCAATTACCACGAAATCGCATGATGCAGCAATTGCGGCATGCATGACATCGCGAAAGACGATACCGTGGGTAGGCTTGTCCGTTGTATCCCAATGCGGCACATCTTGATCATGATCTCATCACACGACCCTCAAACCCGAAGTCAGGCATCACTCCACAGGCACCCATCCAGGTTGGATCCACAGAGAACTGGCGAGAAAAAACCACGAAACTACGCTCTCACACATTGCCATGCATATAGCATCCTGATTCATAACTGCCGCCGGAACGCTGGTAGGTTGGTTGACATCTGCACGGAGGTCCTTTCCACAAGGCGTCAGGTTCATTCAGTATCAGTAACAATAAACATGTTAAACTGAAAGGAATTCATGCCAGACCAGACTGGCAGGAGCAACTTCTGATTGCTTCCTGCAGGGTGTAACCGTTAGGTCTACATTGTCTCACAGCATCCCTATAATCCACCTGGTCTGAAGACCCAAAACCCGAATCGAATCAATTCTACCCCCTGCAGAACACAAGGGCAGGGTGCTAGAGTAACTTGTAGTGACTGAGCAGGCGAGGAGCACATAGTAGTTGCACAAGTTGCTCTGCAGATTCCTGGCAGCAGATCGATCTATCACGCATCTCTCCATTCCGAAGACCGCAGGCAAACGCCGCTCTGTTGCATTACAGCCTCGGGTCCTCCGAATCACCCTCGGCAACGCTGCAATCTTACAGTAGTTGCAACAACTCGTCTTTGCCTATGGTACATTGGGCGGTCTAATATTCTGCGTGGACGCTCCGAACGCTGTCAATCGCTGTCACATGAACCATGAACAGGTGCATCATAACACCTCGCGACCCGCCCCGTGGCTCAGCCCCTCGGGAAAAGAGCCTCGGGACTGAGACGCGATGCACGTGTGAGCGGCGTCTCGCCATCATCACCCTGCACAGAAATGACACACGCGTTGCAAACGAGCCGTGCCATCGTCCCAGTTCGAATCACACACGCCCTGAATGGATGGGCCCTCAGAAGACCCCACCAAGATGCCAGAAGCCCAAGGCGCGAGGCCTCGAGGCGTGTGCACGAGGCGCATAGGATAGGCTACAGCTGACGATGCTGCTTGGCTGTGTTTGGCCTGGGGAGGCTCTGAAATACTCGGCAACTTCGCAGAGCTCCGCACTTCAACCAACGAATCTTTAGATCCAGCACAAGCCCCCGCTTATGGCCTGTGCGAGGTTTACATTCGCACGCTTCTCGGCAAGGTGCCGAACCATGCCAACGTCAGCATGACCCACCTCCAGCTCTGCACTGCCCATCGCAAGCTTCCAGAAATAAGCAGCGAAGCAAATGATAAAATACATGTAATTAAGATTTTGGAGGGGGAAACGAATCTACGAGGCTGTCGGCTTGTAGCATAGATTCTGGAACTCCGGTTACAACCATGTTGGCCAGCAACAGCCTAAAAAAACTCAACAGATACTGAGCCTAAACATCGAACCGACTCCTGAAGGAGAGTTGACAGGCGGCCAAGAGCCAACCTGAAATGCTAGGGCTTCGACACACAGTGCATCGTGGAGGTGTGAACTGCAAGACACAAAGCTTTCGCGAATCTTGGCGATAAGTTCTCATTGTGAGATGCAGCTCTGAGAGATTCCGAGCCACCCAGCTGTGGAGTGGGGCATTTGCAGCAGGGGCTCCAGCATCCAGGAGAATCTGCGAAGATTGGCTTCGGCTCACAAAACATGTCATGTGGCACCTCCTTTAGCATGTCGCCTCACCCATGCGACCAATTCTGCGTTTACCCTGAACTTTAGAAACCCCACAGTGTCAGTCGAAAGGCTCACCTAGTGGACAAAGCCGCTTCTGGCAGGGTTGAAGAAATCACAAGGGAAGCGTTCACTACATTTGACTTGAAGGTTGAGGGCCTCTGGTCACTTGCTCGTGGGATCGGTGCCCCGCAGAACCCTAAGCTTTCCGATTCTCAGAAACCCTGAAACCTCCTCACCTTTTGTCCGACAAATGACCCATGCACTGTCTTCGCAACCGCACGATGCTTCACACGAAACCTGTGCAGCAGTCCCAGACCAAGAACTGTGCACCCAGTATCGTAAATCTTGAAACGGAATCGTCAAGCCTTAAAGGAAGTAATGCACGCCGTCTCAGTATGTCTGTGTCGCCTCCGCAGTGGCGCGGTTCCCCTTCGCAGCGGCAGCAGCCAAGGCTGCTGACAGGGCTGCGGGGCTGGGAACGTGAACCTGAGGATGACGTGGTTTGTTGACGTGGTCGCAAACAAGTTGTGTACTCCTTCTGTGGTGCACTGGAGCCCGAACGATGGCCTGCCTGAGAGGATTAGTCTCAGAGGCATAGTCTGGTGAACGATGTCGGGATTTCCTTCAGAAGATGCCCAACTCAGAGCCAAACCAAGCCTGAACGCACCACGGTACAATAAACTCTGCAAGCTGTCGTATCCTACATCCCAATTCCGTCGCTATGCCTTTGTTTTGATGTGCGCGCAAACCCCACCATGACCTGATAAGGCTTATGCTTATGCAACATGCTTTCGTCCATAGCACGGCTGCCGCCAGCAAAGCTTTCAAGAGTTCCTTGGCGAGGTGCTTAGGATGATCGCGGTGTCAAGGCTTGTATGTCGCAGCTGGGGATGCATGCTTTGGTTATGCTTGTTGGGATCATGTTGTGCTCATGGCTTTCATTCGGAGACGGAGGCCGTGCTACGTATACTATAGTCTATATGTATAGTAGTATAGTGGCTCAGTTTGACGACCGCGGGCTTGTAGGTGACCTCTCGGAATCCGAACCTTGGGCCTTGAAAACTTTGCTGGCTACAGAAGAATCCGGTACGTCAGGGTGTTCTGCATATTTCGTGGGCTGCTGCAGTTTCTTCTCTGCAGCATTGTGATCCGAAGGAGGTTTCATTTCTGCCAGGAGCAGGAGAGGAAATCAACTTCGGAACTCTGCGCCGCTGTGCCATGCCGGGCTCGCGAAGTGAATCCGCCACTCGCACCAGAATGCCAAAGCGGCTCTGCATCCCATATTGAACTGGAAAAAGCAAAAGTCGGGGATTTGTCGACACGCATGCGATGGTCGTAGATGCTTGTTTCAATCGGCTGTTTGAGACTTGCAAGTTGGCAGGAGTGATTCGGGCAGCATGACGGCATGCTAAGAGGGCTGCTGTCGCTAAGTTCGAATTCATGCCACCTGCGGATGGAAGCCCTCTCTTGCATCCTACAAATCGAGCAGACGCAGCCCGCTGCACATCTGTGCGGACGGTTGCCCGAGGGCAGCACAACAGCACACACCTCAGCCATGGCTCTGCCGGACCATTGGATGACGCCGAGGCCAATGCCGACTCACCTGCGCCGTTGTCCTCAGGCGGACTCTTGGAGGGGTTGATCTCAGGACGTTTGTTTGACGTTTACACTCGGACGTATCGTCTTATTGCTTTCGACTCGCACGCTCGTACAAGGCAGGCACGGATTCCAGCAACAAGTCTCTCAGAACGACTAACACTGCTTTAGGGTTTCGTTGGTTTTCGGGGCAAACGCTGCTCTCTGTGTCTTTGCCATCATGCTTTGGATGCAGCCTTCTGTCACCCGATAATTGCAGATAAGCCTGGGCAGTGAGGGCCTGGGGCACATGGATTCTGAGCTGTGGGACCCTCCGAGGCTGTCTTTCTACTTTACAGGATTGCTGTTGTCAGCATCAACCACTATCAACTTGATGTCCCATCCATACTTCATAGTAGCCCAAAAACCGAGGACCGTTGGCCCAAATGGCCTGGCACGGGTTAGCCTTCGCAGTCAGCAGCGCTTCAATCGTCGGCCGTGCTTGCACGCCACCTGGCTGAAGAGGCCCAGCTGGCAAGGAGTGCGATGCGTCCCTCCGACAAGCTAAGCCTTAGGCAGCCAAGGGTTTCTTTGCCAACTGAACTCTGACAGCCTGGCTGCTTCTCATGGAGCGCGGAATGTGACAGTAACACATGCGACTCTTGCACCTACCTTCTTGACTGCGCTGGACCATGGAATCGGAGTCTCGGACCAATGGAAGACAAAGGATGTACTTATGCAAGAGACGAAGAAGCACAATCTGCACCAACACAATCCAGGAACTCATCTAAAGTACAACCCTTACATCATGTTTTTCGAACCCGCACCACGATGCCTGACTCCACAGCTCGCAGCAACGCGCTGCCCCCGTGTGGGTCCGCGGCATTCGCCTGCATTGTTCGCGAATCACAAGGCAATCGTTTATATGAGCCGTTGTTGCCGTTGCACAGCCCCCGTGCCAACTGATCCGTCGGCGCTGAAATGGCCGATGATTGCTGAGCTGGATGAGTATCATTTTCTGATGCACGTGCAAGCAGAAAGATCTGCAAGGAAGTCGGACCTCCACGCGGCTTTTCAGTAGGGCCTCTACCAAGTTGTGCTGCCCTTGCCGGGCCTTAGGCCACGCGTATGCTCGGTTGCCCTGAGCTGGCAAAAAGAATTGAAGGTGCTCCAAGCCGCTGCCAGGACCAAGGCCAGATCCCTAGGAAGGTCTGATGGAAGCTCCTTGGATCTCTGGCATTGCGAGGAGCTGGGTTTGGTTTCCCCAATTCGCTGTCCGAATCTGCAGGTGAACGATGATGTCTGTGGATCTTGTCGATCAGCCACCAAGGAGCCCAGCAGGAGGATCGATGTATGTCCAATCCCCAGATTTTCAGACCCTGCTGCCGAATCTCAGTCTTTCCGGTCAGGAATTTTATCAAAACAAAGAACGTGGGGTGGTGAACCCTCTCCCCCCACCCTCGAACGGTCCAAGGATATGTGCGGCTGATGCACCTCTCGGGCCCTCGGGCTCAGGACTGCCGCATGTGCATGTCTGGCTTTGGTCACCGTTTTACGGCGGCGATATAGGGTAGCGGAAGTGAAGCTTCAACTCTTCTCAGGTCAAGTGTAAGACCCGCGGAAAGATACTGCTGTTTCTAACTTGTGTGGAAGAAGCAAGAAGCTGGGGGGACGCAGCCCTGAAGCCTGAAATGCCAGACCCAAGCCTGTGCATGCCAACCGCTTAGTCCTTCTCAACTAAAGATCATCGTAGTAGAATAAACTCACTGGAAGTGTCCACTGCTGTCTTGTGGTCCAAGGAACTGAAAGCACATCGCTCGCGTCCGCTGCAGGATGAGGAGCCTCCGGCGGCTTCTCCTCCTGAGGCTGCGCTGCCCTATGTGGTTGCGCTCCTGAGTTTACTTCTGTTGGCTCTGGCACCTCAAACCAGGATTTTCTAGCTCCCGCATCGCAAGCCGCAACAAGCACAGCGGGTCTCTAAGTTGGACTACAGGTCCTGATATACTGCGATGATAAGGAAGTCATCGCAAACCGGCTGATACGGTCATTCACTGAACTTTACAATGAAACTCAACAAACCAGTAGAATAAGGAATAAAGAACAATTAACCTTCGCCACGACTCCAGTTCAATTTCAACATAACGACAAGGAAAGGTTGCACTGCTACTGACACTCACTCCACAGCAGCCGTTCCTGCGCTTACTTTGCAAGTCACAGCTCGCGACCACTGCCACTTCATGTGCGATCTGCACTGCAACTCACGCCATCAGAGCAAATCAGACTAAATCCCAGGATTTGTAGGAGCGAAATCGGCTCTATTGGATCTCTCGGTGCACGTCTTCCGGAGTCCTGTTAACGATGGAGTTTGCTGTACGTAAGCATGCATTGACCAACCCTGAACCTTCCACACGCGAGCCTCAAAAAGCCTGGCAAAACCTTTGAATCCCCTTCCAAAAGCCAGGGGCTCCTCAGACTCAGAGTCTCCGATGCTGTCGAAGCGTGAGTAGTCCAATCGCGCAGCCATGGCTTCCCGTTTCTGTTTAGAGGTATCGGGGTCCGTGTGTCGAGGCTGCAGTGGGGAAATGGGCTTTTTAAGGATGGACCCTCTCGGGAGATACCGCGATATGGGCGATATGATACTGTAAATGTTGTGGGACGTTGGCTCACCTTCCCCGAAAACCAGAATTCTTGTGTGCCTACGGTGCTTGAGCCCCGTGGGTCAACATCAGGTTCTGAAGGTCTCAGGCTCCGTGCAGACAGCGGAGGTCCTCGCTTGGTCCAAGTCCAGGCGACCAGCGACCATGCGCCATCCACCAAGGCATCAAAGGCGTCGCCAACCGTCCTGGGCAAATTAAATTGTTGCCGAATACTGTCCGAATACATACATCGGAGCACAAACCGATCTCAACAGCGTCCTTTCAGATGGCTACCGCAAGACACTGTTAGTTTGGTACTTTGGGCACCCGCGCGTGGGCTCTTGGCAGACTCCTTTGATAAAGGGGCTCTGGTGGTTTTGCCATTTGGCTAACCACTTCCAGAACTCGGGTGTAGAGTATGTGGACCACAAGGACGGAGGAATTGCGTGCACCTCACTCGCATCACCTGGATGCGTCAGGGGCACAGCAAGATCTCCTCGTAGAACCTCAGCGGCTCCTGCTGAACACCTCGGCCAGGCCCAAGGCCATCGAAGCTCCAAGTGATGCTCGAACTTGGGGCGATCGCTACATTTTATCCTCTCTCGCATGGCCCTGTTCTTTCTGGTTCTAAGGTGTGGGCTTCTGCGGAGCCTGATAGGCAGGTGCTACCCGCATAGGCTGACTACCTTCTGGACAGAGGACCAACACAAACATCTGGGAGGCGAATTGTTTAGAACTTAGGAATCTTTCGAGCTTCTAGTTTATAAACTTAGCGTATGCGTTTGACGCATTTCGAAAGTTCGTCGCTTCAGCTTTGCAGGACAACGACATCGAAAGACACCCAAGCCAAAAGTACGAGAAGTTAGCAAAGCCCTTGCTTGAGAGTGAACGCCATTGAAAAGACTGAAACTTGCAGGGTCAGCAGGAAGCGGGAAGCTAGTGGACCTGTTGTGGGGCGCTTTCGTTACTGCGAAAAACAAAGCACTCCCAAGGCTGGCACAACAAGCACCTGGAATGTCCTAGTCCTACATCTCAAACTTCGGAAGCCCAACACTCCAACATCTTGAACAAAAACATGTATGACATGGAGCCAGGAACAAATCAGCACTGCCCGCATTCATGGAAATCCAACTGCAAGGTCTTTCGCCAGGAATCGGATGGCTCGGTGGCGATCCCCCTGCCGACGTGGGAGGCGCAGCGTGCTACGCCTGGGGTGTTGAACTGCGTGCGTGTCGATCGATGCGATGCCGGCATCTGGTTGAGTGACATGAGGTCACGCATCATGTCGGCTCTGGACTGTCTTGTTGTTTTTTGATCATCTCGTGCTCCCAGCTTCGGGGCTGGAACATGAAGTCATCGACACTCTCTTGCACTTTCGAGGGTTCAGCCGGTGACAGCACCTGAGCCTGACCGACTTCTCGCACCTCGCACGTAGAATTGGTACTGGTATGCAGGTTGTGGGAAAGGTTGGGTTTTGGTAGGCTTCAAGCAATTAGCAGAGCCCCCCTTCCAGAAGGCCAAAAGCAACGCCGAGTGTTTGGCCTCAACCAAGCGCTGCCACCACTGCCTGTCCACCTTTAAGGACTCAACAGCCCAGCTGCGCGCTTGTAGCGTGCCGGCGGCCAGAGATCCAAAGCACCAGCATCAGAATCAGGATGCCTACCTGACAGGTGGGAGTGTATCCAGCTGGCCTTGTAGCTCCTAAGACGCACATCTGTGCCAAATCGGCACCCGAATCACAACGATACAGGATGCAGAGGCTGCCATAAAGAACCTACTGTTGCCACCTTACGTCTGAATAATAGTTCACCCATGCTACACCCACCTCCTCTTCCACCAACTCCGTCTCAACTTCCAACACAAAATCCTACGACACCCCCAACCCACCCCAAAACACAAGCGTTTAGCGTTTACCCTAGGCATCATGTTGTTTGCGTTGCCTGATTCGTTTTGGTATGGCTACCCGGCTACCCATTTCGGTAAGTAGAGGATCCTTCTGCTGTAGGGCTTTCCTGCGCCCCAGCCATGCAAGAAACCAATGCCAAGGCATTCTTAGCTATCACATCTACCGACGCACATATAAACTTCAAAGTCTGCAACATTCATCAGGGCTTGCCGTCAAAGAAATTATTAAAGAAGCCCTGTTAGATAGACTCTAAAAGCCCGCGCTTGTGGCTCCAACGCCAAGTAGTACAAGCATAAATGACTCCCGTAACGGCCGTTTCAATCAAAAGCGACAGGCTCAGATCATCATAGCAGTTGCTCCTTGCTCTGAGCCTTATTCCCTCCCTGCTCTTGATAGTCTCCGCTTCGCGCAAGGGGGAGCTCAGGCTCGGACGACTATGGCCTCATTCCGCCCGAACTGCCAGGAACCATTCCGGGGCTCGCAATAGAAGCAAAGAGCGCCTTGGGCAATACAGCGACCACTTCCAAGACTGTCAGCAGATGAAACTAGCAAACAATCGCGGCTGCATGAACAAGCCCGCACACCCAAGGCAGCACAGGTGGTTTCGCCACCACATGTTGACTGCAACAGATCTGTGTAAGTCGAGCATCCATCAACTGTGGTGGCATTCTGCCTGACATGTGTCATGGAATTGCCGCACTCGCAGGCTTCTGGTGTGCATTGGTCGGATGCCTCAGTACCTGGGACAAAGCTTGTGCAGGAAATCGTGAATGCTCAACCAAAGCTGTAAAGGTTCACAGGGAAGCACCTGACTCAAGCTTCTGAGTGTTTTATACCACTGGTACATCAGTAGATATGTAGAGTCATAGAGAAAGGAGTGGAACAGCAGCACAAACCAACGCACCCACCCACATACACGCGCGCACGGGCACACACACACACAGAGACAGAGAAACAGACACACACACACACAGAGACACACAGACACACACACACACACAGAGAGACAGGGACAGACAAACAGACACACAGACACACAGACACACACACACACACAAACAAACAAACAACCAAACAAACACAGACACACACACACACAAACAAACAAACAAACAACCAAACAAACACATACACACACACACACCATAGCGATGGCAATGCTGGCAGATTGTGTCTCGATGACTTCTGGGCCCCCAAAACCACAAACGTTTGAGAGTTTGAACCGAGCTGCATGCAGGAAGCCTCTCTGGCTCGCAGGCATAGCAAGGCTGCCCTTCAAGGCTGACGTTCCTCACGCAATTCCACGTTCCGGTCCCCAAGGCGCAAGAATCACATCGATTCTTACATATGCCTGAGCCTCTGAGCCTCAACCCTTGCCCAGGGAAAGCCGCACGGTGCAGCAAAGGGTCACCAGCTCCCTGACATGAGAGGAGTTGGCACAAACGCAGGCTTCATCAAATGTACCTCGATGTCTCAGTACTTCAGGAAACGCAATCACTGATTGGAGCATGCTCTCAGTACAACTGCTTCGAAACTTCGAAAGATAAACCTCCGTATCATGCTTTACACGATGCTCCTGAAACGAAAGCACTTGGCACATATAGAATCGCATGTCAAGCCCGTCTCAGACAGCTATGTCCCACAGCCCGCCAAAGGCTGAGCTGGAGGTCTCAATGGCTCTGCAAGTCGCCTCGATGCCGCCATTAATCGCTTACAGGCACCAGCCTGTGTCAAAAGTGTCTCAAGCCCGCACCCAGAGCTCGTCCAAGCTGCAAGTCGTCCCCGAGGAATCCGAAGCAGAGTCGAGGGTGACCGGGCAGCACCTGCTGTCGAAACGAAGAGCCGCCTTAAAGGCCTCGAGGTTTACATCTGCAGACCTGCGTTTCGCTGCTTCGTCTCCCATGTTTGGAGGACTGGTTACGCACCTCATGCCCTGGGCACGCTGGGCACAGGGGAGTGAGAAGGAAGCTCCGAAGTCTTGTAACTGTATCTGGGTTCCCCCATCTATTGGATGTCCTCCACCCGGGGGTGGACACGGGGTTCATCCCGTTCTCATTATCTGCTGTCAAAAAACTCTCCCTCCCTCTCTCGGAGCCAAAGGGTTCGATAACGGAGCGCTGCATCCCGAGCCTTCCTTTGCCGGCCATGACAGCGCAGCCGACTGAATTAGGGAAGTTGTAAGTATTGTATGCAGCGACGATCGAAGTCTGGACTCTGACGCGGTGAGATCCATGTCTCTGATGTTTTTTTGCTTCCTCTCATAACCTGAAATTTGGAAGGACGTGAGTGCTCTCCAACCCTGGAGCTCCTGGAGTTACGAACTGTATAGGCAGTCTACTACCTGCGGCAACATGCGCTAAGCCTGTGCCTGAAGAAGGCGGCGAAGCAAGTCAGAGCGTCTTCGGAAGAATTGCAAAGGTTCGCTGCAAGGCCTCAACACCCTGAAGGTCTCGAAGTCGGTGGTGGTGATCCCCGATGGCAAACAAACATGTCACATGGGTGCGATGCCAAGCTTTAAGCGTTCTATATGGCTCTACGCGACCTTAGATTTCAGGCTCGCGCTGGCTCGCGCGCGCAAGACATCACGCAGCGTTTGGTGTTGCAGCTCACGGCTCCAGGGACAACTTCTGTAGGAACTGGTGAATCTCACGGTTGACCTCTGCCGCGCGCCAGTAAAAGAACCAGTGGTGCGAGTCGAACGCCTTGGAGTACCTCACGTTGCTTGCAAGCTGCAAGCATGCTGTCTCGTTGGGACATTATGGGGAGAGCTCGGCTGGATCCCAATTCGCCTACTTGCAACCCCTACGTGCAGTGGCGGAGAGGGCTTGCCGGCAGCACCCCCTTTTTTGTGCCCCCTGCGGCCCACCCGCCTCTCCCGCTTCCCCCTCTCTTCCTTGCGACGAGGCAAGACGGGCTAGATTACATGATCGTGAAGCTGATGCCAAAGCCTGGGAATTCTGGGGCATTGTCCTGTACTTATGGGAGGTTGTATACGAGACCAGTGAGAAGTGCGATACTATTACCATTATTATAGTAAGGTCTATGTGATTATGCAGGGCATGTGCCACCTTTCGCGTGGGAGTATTGCTCAGAGTCTCAGCATGAAAACAAACACTGACAGACATTTAAACACATTATGAAGCAAATGCGCTCATTCACTCAAGACACTCAAGACCTCACCTGTGTGACCTACTGTACCCGTTGCTTTCCGGACCAAAGCACCTGCTTCAAGCACAGCCGGGCCGAGGTGGACGACGCGAAGCGCTTAAAATTACATCATCTAGAGCTGGGGATCACCAAATAGTCATCTCGAAGCAGGGCATCCAACAACACAGGCTTCCCAAATCAGGTAGTACTAAGACCAAACTTGTCCGAAGTGTTTCCCAAGTGTCTACCTGTTGTCCTGTGCCCCTTGACAGACCTATGCCCGAACCCAGAAACAGTGTCACTTCTCTACCGGAGTCTGCGATGCGAAACGACTAATCACTCTCTCCCTGCCGTACCATCCTCAAGGGTCTCGCTATGCAAAGCCACATAGCAGACCAAACAATCAGGAAGCTACTGCTCCGCTACGGCAGCTACAGTAATGCTCACACAAGGCAAGCAGGCGATTTGGGGAACACTCTTCAGGTTTCGTCCCTCGGGCGCAAGCATCTGGACTGTTTTCCTGCCAGGCCGCCGCAGAGGACCGCCCTTCAAGCGAAGGGCCTCCAGGAAGTAGCGCCCCGTGAGGTCCATCTTGGATGGGGCCGCCTGGTAAAGGGGCAAAGCATGAAAAAGCACATGAATAATCGCCTGGAAGTGCCTGAGGAGGGCCCGACCTGGCTAGAAGGGTCTGAGACAGTGGATGTAGATCAGCCTCGAGATGCCCTGACTGCAGCATCCGGAATTCGAATCTGATCTCTTTGACACCTCGCTCAAAAATGTGCAGAAGCCTCACATCAGTCTAATCGAGTCTGAATCTACCTTGGCACTGCGCCTTTATTATTCAAACAATAAAGACGAGACTGTCAGGCTTCGAGCTTCCAGCTCGTATCCATGCTTACCTAACTTACGGTGCGGGGCAGCTACCTCTAACACCGAGCATGTTGATTTCGTGACCCTTCAGTCAAACGAAGCTCTCACCCCTCACAGCCGGAAGCCCAGGTACTCCGTGTAGAAGCAGCGTAGGGCAAGAAGGCAGCTCACCCGCGAGCTGCGCCTCAGAACAGAATCGGCCCGGCAGAACTGTATAGGCACCATGCTGTCGGCTCCTGTCTTCGAGTCCCAGCCGAGGGGTTGGGTTTTGTTCATTGCAAAGCAGGACGGCTCTCGTACCAGTGTCGATTCCCTCAGCTCGAACCTGAAACTTGCGTCCCAAAGGAAACTGGCTGTGTTTCCCCACAGCTACGAAAGTCCAGGTCCAGGTGCATCGGCGGCGTTGCTTTTCCATCCTCGAAGGCCGTGTGTCCTCTGTGGGAACCAAAGATCAAATAGCTCTTACTCTTGGCAGGTGCGAATCCAGAGATTACAGAACCAAGCCCGCAACGCAAGCTGCTGCATAGCTCCATCAGGGTTTTCTAACACCTCATGACGAGACCCCCTACACGTATATACCAATCTCTATCCCGAGACTCGGAAGGTACCTTAGGGCCGAAAGCACCAGACGCACTCTTGCAGCGCTTTCGACTCTCACACTCACACGAGGCAGGCAAGGCTGCGGTTCAGTGCACCGTGCTACGGCTTGCAGAAGCTATACAAGCCCAGCGGCTGCCATCGCGCCCAAAGAAAGAAGCGAGGTGGCTTCCATGTCTGCCAATACCTGGAAACATCTGAAGCTTCAAGACCGAAGCAGCATCTCTTGGTACATGCCATGGCTTTCAAGCCTCAGAGCTGCAGTTCGTCGAATGTGGTCTTGGACAGTGCGTTCTCAGAGCATTGCCCGGGCAAAGAGAACCCCTCCCAACTCCTTCAGCCCTACTTGTATGAGGCTGCTGCGGCCAGCCCATTGCGGCGGTCATCTCTTCCAGAGGTGTTGGCGTCAGCAGCTGGCCGGCCTCTAGGACTCTAGGAGAGTTTCTGGAACCCGTTTCAGGTCAAGGCGTCTGAGGGTCTTTGCCTTGGGTTGGAAACTCGTCAAGCTTAGAGCCTTCTACTTCTGCTCCTCAGCCAATCGAGCTTCAACAGTCCCCAGCCTCACCGTAGCCGGACACGGGGCCCAGTGACTGCCTGAATCCGCAAGACAGCCCCGCGAGGTGCATCGATGCTCTGGTGGCATGCGTGGGAGGTATAAAAGTACCGAAGGCCCCTGAAGTGGCGGAATGGGATAAGTGTCGAAGCCTGCATGGATCAAAGAGGCGCGTGGCTATAAGTTTACCATTGGCAGCAAGAGGCCGGTCGGCCAGTCACCGCTGCTCGGCTCGGCAGCCAGAAACCTCCCCTAGGGCGCCTTGAGTTTCAGAAGCCTGAATCTGGTCTTCTAGGTAGCTTCGACTACGAAGGAGAACACAAGTGAATTGTGGAAATACTGCACATGGAGAAGCGAAGCTACTCCATGAAGTGCCGCAGCAGCTTGTTGGCCGCGTCCTGGGAGCACTGGCAAGAATATTGGAAGCCCCCCTGCCTAAGTATCACGGGACCTTTGGAGTTCTCAAAGCCTGGGGCTTCGCTAGCCAGTGCGGCAGTGCAGCATCCTTCCATGCATCATTATATCAAGGGGGCAGGACGGCCCGAGTTGAAGTGCTGAAGCTTACGACAGTCGGCACAGCACCTGCATGAGTGGTAGCTTCCCGAACAGGAAGCACATCAGGGCAAACTGCTGGTAGGCGACCACGCGCCACTTGACCTCTGCGGGCCGCATGCGGGGTCGAGCCGTAGCAATATTGGCTTTAGTCGGGGCAGTCCAAATCTTGCTTCGGGAATCGCACGAGCTGCCAGGGCACCGAGAACGGGAGTTCACCATAGCCTGGAGCAATGTCCAGGGGCACGATGGCATCGAACAGGTGGGGGTCTTTCCTCTGGGCCATGTACCTTGCGCTATAAGTGCTCTGCCAAATCAACCCGCCACAACCTTGGCAGTTGCACTAACCCTGCGGCTCCAGCATTCAACGTGTCCCTGTCTCTTGGCTAAGAAAGTGCGACCGACAAATGCATGACTTGGCAGCTGAAGCGGCGTAAGCCATGCCCCCCAATCATGCCCGAGCAGGACGAGCGATCGATTCTCACCTTCAGCGCTTTCTCTAGATTTCTTCAGCAAGTTTCTACGGCCATGAGCTTTGTTCGGACAGCTGCAAGATTGCGGAGCTGTTCGGGCTCAAAGTCCCGCACAGCCTTCCCTTTCCTCCTCTCCTCCTCCTCCCTCCGCCTCCTCCTCCTCCTCATCATGACACCATCAGCATCACCATTACCGCAAAAATCATCATCATCATCATCAGCATCATCTCGTCCACATTGTGGTGCCACACACTTCGCGTTATCAATTCCGGCGGAAGTTTTCGCTCCAGTTCGCGATTTCCCTGACAGTTTGGATTGCTTCTGGGGGATGTTATGCTGAAATAACGAAATCCCGAAATCCCTCACCCACTTTGTAATCTCAGGCGTAGAATCGAAGTAGAAGCATCAAGCTTCAGAAGCGGTGTAACGGCACATGCATGCAATCCGCTCTCGCTCGCCCACAGGTGGTCATGCTGACTTTAAGGCGGCCACGTCCACAAGCGCTTAGACTTAGATGATCACTTAGATGTATAGGACGAGCAGCAGCGGTGCCACCTGTGTACAATCTAAGGAAATCGGAAGCATCTCCTCAAACAAAGCACTTACGACAACTCTTGCAACATACCAGCAAGAGTCAGCTTGAGGGTACTGAGAACTACTATCTTCGATAGTCACAGTCGGTGAAAACCAAACCGAAATCAGTGAACGAGTGGCGGAAGCCAAGTGTCGAAACGCACGAAACATGACTGGTACAAGGCAGCTTGTCAGACAGCGAACTCAGAGTTGGTTATCAGACTAGTGATGACCGTAACTTCTACTAACAGTGAGTAAATATGAGAAGCGGCAATACGCACGAAACCACTACTGCTTTGACAGCGACTTAGCAGCGAGCATGGGAACTGATTTGCCAGTGTCGCTTTAGAAATTACGACTGCGAGCTCTGATAGCCAGGTCGGCCTCCATGGCCTCGCAGGAACTCGGCAAGATTGGACAGCTGCTGTGCCTGGGGCAGGGTCGATCGAGTTCGCTCCCGTTCCGAGCTGGAAGCTTCTGGCTTGGGGCCAGGGCTGGGAACACTATACATGCAGGCAGTCATGCACATTTCTCTGCATCTCGAGCGGTCCGCGTGATCGTGCCAGAAATCGCCTGATTCGTTTAGGCACCCGCTCGCGCATGCTAGCTCCAGGCGGCTCAAGCTTCACATCGATTGTACAAGTACAAGCTGCACCTGCATGAATTCTCAAGTACGTGTACTCATATGCAAAGGTAACACTATTGATTTTGTGTTGGCTCTTAGTCTTATGTTCGCGTTTACCAATAGGCTTAGGACTTAGCAGTTCAGCTCAGGTAGCCCGACCTTCTTCCGAACTCGCCTCCTAGCCCTAGCTTCAACAACAAACATATCCTACAAAGTTACCAAATTCAAAAATATCATGTTTGATGCCTCGCTGCAAGCACATCGAAGTCGTGACCCCAAGGCGCCCTTGGCAGCGCAACGCAACTCAGAGATCGTGTTTTGCAGGGAATCAAAGGGCTTGAGGTTCACGGGTTATGGCTCATCCACACTTTGTCCTGACCTGCCACGTAGACGCTTTGGCTTCCGGGCGATGAGGAACTCGGCTCTTAATTTTGACTTTTTCATAGAATGAACTGAATGAACCTGCACGTCCGACGACTATGTGCGCAAGGCAAAGTCCTAAACCAATCCCCTTAAATGACAGCGCCGGCGACTCTGCGTGGCTCACTACATATAACCAGTTTTGGCCATGACGACTTGCTCTGGCCATCACTAGCCTACTTTCTAAACCATGTGTCGCGCTTGCATCTGCTATTGCAGCTTGAGGTCTTTTCTCCGTGCTCAGTCATGGGCAGCTCGGCGGCCACACACCGGTAGCCCAGCTCAGAGAAGAAAGAAATCTGCTTCTGGAACTCCTGCAGCTATGTTGGGAGAGAGTGCTGTCTGTGATCGCAATCTGACGTGCTTCTTTGATGTTTCACAACTCTTGAACGGTGAATGCCTGTGCTGTCTGATCCCAGATCATCCATCTGTCAGAAATCCACTCTGCCGCTGTCCCACCCACTTGGCCAAGCCTTGTGCCCAACTTGTTGACATCCAAAGGAAGTGCAGAACAGCCTTCTTTCGACTTCACTTCCCTGAACACTGATATCTTATGGCTGAAGGCCAGTTTGCAAGCGGCAACATCCGACGGACCAATTCACCCCAGCAGCACGAAACCTGAGTAATTGTTCCTCATTAAGCAGTCTCCGCGAACCCGTCTTGTCCGTGCCTTGGCATTGTCCGGCCACCCGTGCAAAAACAGAAGCACGACGCTAGATTGGGCATTGCCCACATCCTGAGGTTTCGGCACCCGGCAAACCGCACTCAAATGACGCCAGCGCACTAGACTTAGACCCTAGGCCCAAATCAACGAATGAGAGCAGTGCACACTTTACGCTCTCACAACTCGGACAACGAGTGGCAGCGCAAGCCTTACACACCAAAGAACCATCCAGGAGCACGCCATGCACCAAGCAATAATACAACCCACAGCTAGACCATAGCTGAATGAAAGTTTCTGAAAGCCGAAGTCCGCAAACAAACCTGACCAAAATTGCTTGATGGATAACCTCTAGCAGCCACATGCAGATTCATATGTCATGTCATTGTGTATATAACACACACACAAACACTACACACACCACAAAGGCAACACACGGCGAGCACACACACACACACACCCACGTGGCAAACATGATCCAGCGTGTTCATGTACAACGGTTGGAGCAACAACGCGCTTATGCTCGATTCATCTATGGCTTAGAGCTTCTGACATGCAATAGGCAGTGGCTTGGCCGCAAGTCCTGGAACT